CCAAAAGCCAAAAAAATCACCCTAACCCCTAAACCCGAAGAATCCCTAAATCCTAAACCCGAGAGCCTAAGCCTCCCTAACCCCTAAACCCCCAAAAACCCTGAACCCTAAAGCCTAAGCCCTATAACCCTAAGAATCCGAAAGCCCTAAACCTTAAAGCCTAGCCGCCCTATAACCCTAAAGCCCAAGCCCTAAACCCTAAGAATCCCTAAGCCCTAAACCCTTAGCTCTATAACCCTATAACCCTAAGAATCCCTAAACCCTAAACCCTAAGCCTATAACCCTATAACCCTAAGAAACCCGAAGTCCTATAACCCTAAGAATCCCAAAGCAGCCTCCTTTTCTTGGCTAACTCGACCCTGAGGTTCCCCAGTAGGACCCTTTTGCCCGGTTTTTTCTTTTTGGGTTCCCTTTATTAAAACCAAACATTAGGAAAAAGGGCACCCAAAAGGGAACCAATAATGAGTTTATAATATAAAAGGAAAAAGGGCACCCTTATTTCTAAGAGGCTACTGGGAAAACCAAGACTCTCTGAGGTTCCCGGTGATCAAGCTGCCGAAGGCCAAGGCGTAAGAGCACCGGATGGACGCTTTAGCCCTCGGGCGCCTCGGTTTAGGGTTTATAGGGGGGGGGGGGGNNNNGGGTTTAGGGGTTTAAGGGGTTTTGGGTTTTAGGGCTTTAGGGGTTTAAGGGGTTTAGGGTTTAACAAGTGGTTTAGGGGTTTAAGGTAGGTGTCGTTTTGGTCGCCTTCTCTAGGGCTGCCGGTGAGGCTTCTTAGAGCCTTGCTTCTGGGATTTGTAGAGGGTGTTTGGGAGGTAAAAGACGGGGTGTGTGCGGAGTTAAGAAGTATGTGCATAGATATGTATAACACGCACATATCTATACACAGACAGTGAGAAAGGGAGAGAGCGAAAACAACTCGTTTGTGGATGTACCTAGCGAGCCTCCCATGTTTGCAGGACTTTGGACCGAAGGGTAGAAAGACAACTGGAGCATGGCAGTAGTCTTAGCCTTGCAATCGATGCATGTCGACATATGGGGGGGGGGGGNNCCGAAAATAGGGGACCCTAATATATCGTACCCCCAAATATTATAAGGACCCCAAATTAAATAAGGTACCCTAATCGTCGGAATATTCCGAGCCCAGGTGCAGACAAGAGTGACACGGAGTTCTCCAGATTTCAAGATCCGGTCCCACGGGCCCGAATGTCTCGTGACCGTCCAGGTCAGGAATTCGGGTTGCTGCATCTGGTGATGTGAAGCCTGTGGAGGTTCATGATCAGCAATAGCATTCGCTGGTAGTCCATCTATGGTTGAAAAATATGTATTTATTTAATATTTATATTTATATTTATATTTATATTTATATTTATATTTATATTTATATTTATATTTATATTTGTATTTATACTTATATTATATTTATAATTACTTATATTAGAATGTATATTTATATTTATATGTTTCTTTATTTGTTTATGTATGAATATGCACACACGGAGACATATGGATATATTCACATTGCCCCCGCGCTACCTCAACACCCTACTCGTATTCTAAGCTTCAAAGACGGCATGACGTACCCCCCAAAATCCTTGTCTACGTTTCGACAACAGGCACAACATGTATATCATCAGAAGCAGACAATGATTGCCTATACCATTTAGCACCCCCGCCGCCGGCAGAAAAGAAGTGCGTCCAGGACTCGTTGAATCGAATCCCTTGGATGGTTCTTGGTTCTTCGGAATTCCTTAAGTTAGTATTGTTATGATTAGTAGTCTTACTACTGTTGATGATAGAAATCCTGCATTACCTTAAGGACCCTAAATTATGGGAATTATGGTACATTCCTTTTTATGGGTAATGCAGGATTCATATCATCAACAATAGTTTTCTTGTTATGAGAATTATTGTTAGTATTATTATTAGTATTATTAGCTGTACTACTACAATCAATCTACACGGTCAGGGTGCCAGACTCGACTTGGAGTGTCGATAAGCCCTCGGCGGCAAGAGGCTTCAAGTTCTCAGACTGGCGTTTTTCGCGCGAAACTGGGAGTGGACCGACAGTGGAGGGGGCTTCTGGGTTTAGGTTTAATTTAGGGTTTAGGGTTGAGGGTTTAGGGTTTTGCAAAAATCAGACAGTGGTGGAAAGAGGAATTCGGGGTTTTGTTCAGGGCACGGGTTTCAAGAATGTCGGCAGGCACGTGTAGAAGCTGAGGCATAGCCGGTTCTTGATGCTGCGGACATTCACAACCCGAGTGCTTATGTGCAAGACCGCATGCCTACCCAGCGAAAGCCTTTGCGTTGCCCAGCAAAGAGGCCGCGCCCCAAGAGGGCCCTGAAACACTCAACGCCGTGGCTGCGGATGTCCGCCCCTCAGTGCAGGCCGTGGGCTTTGCGGAGTATGGAGTCGGTTTCTGATCCGGTTCAGGGCTTATAGTGCAGTTGCAATTGCAGGTATGATTGCAATAACAACAGCAATGACATCAATGCAACAAATAAGCAAACGTCATGACAATAAAGATGGGGTTGTGATATCTTGCGATAGTCGCCATGAATATACCGGGCCACTGCAAAACAGAATCTATAAACCCTAAACCACCGAAGCCCTAAACTCCAAACCCCAACCTCTAGACCCTAAGTCCGAGGACCTCGACCAGACTCTTCTGCCGCCGGAGGATGCCGTCAGGCGACAACATGCCTTTAAAGCATGTCTGAACTAACTTAGGGTTTGGGGTTTTAGGGTTGAGGGGTGTGGGGTTTAGGG